CAGAATCTTCTGTCCTGCTCCCCCCATGGCTCCAGTCTCTTGTGTAGTACTCTTAGCTCCCTTTTTATCTTGTCTTTCCTGTTGTTGCTTTTCTTTAAGTTGCTTAGACTTAGCTCGAGTTATACGCTGATCCTTAAATTCAGCCATCTGAACCGGGTCCAAAATTGGAGAAGATTCCAGCAAAGGCTCATCCAGAAAACCTCCTTCAGCGCCCTGCGTTTCCTCTGGTTGCTGCTTAGACTGTTCTTGAAGTTCTTGTTGAAGTTGCTTCTTATCACTCTCCTTAATCTCCAGAACTGTGGATGTACGCGGAGATGGTGTTCTTTCTTTAAAAATAGTAGTGTAAAAATGCTCCGCCTTCTCCACAGTGTTCAAACGATATCTTTCTCCCTTGTATCTCAAAATTATACCAGTTGGGGCATCCCACCGAAATGGTATCTGTTGGTTTTGCAGTTCTTTAACAAGAAAGCCAAAGTCCTTTCTGGTTTTCAACATTTTAGGTGGTAACTCTTTATAGACTCCAATTTGTGAGCCCCCCACTTGTACAGAAGTATGAAAGGATTTTTGCAGGATGTCATTCCTTATTGCTCTATCTGTAAAATATATGACCACATCTCTAGGCAGTTGTCTTTGTCTGGCCACCCAAGAATTCACTCTGTAAATTTTATCTATTTTGTAAAAAACCACATCAGGATTAATTTTTAATATCACAGCCAAGGCCTCAGAGCAGACCTGTCTCAAATCCTGTCTATCATCTTCTCGAATTCCTCGAAGCCGTATAGCGAATTCCATTGCCCTGAATTGCATCATAACAATTTCGTTCTCGACTTTCTGCATTTTATCATCCACATCAGAAATCTTATAGTCATTATCTTTCATCTTGACATTAACTTCTGATTTAAATTCTTCCACTTTAGAATCAACTTTGATAATAAATTCTGCCAGGCCAGATGCAACTTCTGATATTTTTTTGGTCACCTTATTTTGATTCTGTTTCACCATATCTTTAACTTCATTAATTTCATGCATAATTTCCTGATGAGACTTTTGAATTTTGTCATCTATTTCCTGTTGGGATTTTTGAAATTTATCATCCAGAATTTTAGAAATAAATTCTTTTAAATCTCCCACATCAAACTCTTTTTTCTGAGTCTGTAGCTGTTGAGCAGGGGGAGGCTGCATTTCATGTTTATGTGTGGGGGATCCCCCCCCTGTTACCTTCCCTTCCTGCTTCTTTGAAGCCATCCTGCTACGTAGGCTAGTTTTTCTGAAGAGGGAAGTTCCTTTTCCTTTCCCTCCTCCACAGAAACTTCTAAAAAAGTCCCCCAGATTTAGTCAAACGAAACTGAAGTAAAGCAAAGTCAAATTTTAGAAAAAGGAATTTTTTTTCTTTAAATAGAGCAACTTTGTAGCAGCTTTGTAACTTTATAGCAAAGCAGGATGACTTCACAAATCCACTTTCACTAGCTCGTTAACTCAAATGCTGGGCGCCATATTTTTTCAAATCACTTTCACTCACTCGCTTTCTCTTTTGAATTAAAAAGTCAACAAAGCACTAATACTTGCAATTTTCAAGTTTCTGGATTCAAGTTAGTATTTCCGCTGCTTGTTAAGGTTGGTTCCTTTCACTTTAAAAGTTTGCTGCTGCCAGCTTGTTCTGCTGAAGGCAGAATCGTCCCACGCCGCCCGGAGTCTCCGCAGGTTGGGAGGGAGCCGCGCCTGTTTACTCCCCAGAAACAATTCCCTGGGGGGTTACAGGGGCTCAACCTGTGCCCTGCTGTCTCTTCTCCTACAATCTTCAAGATTTCGGAGTTTTCGAGCCGCTCCTCGTTCGCGGGGCGGCTCTACAGGCAGCGGGGCTGGCGGTCTTTAAAAAAACACCGCCGTCGCCGAAGCTTGCAAACCGGAAGTCTCAACTTGTCTCTTGAAAGAGTTGGAATTAGCCATTGTCTAATGTCTCAAAAGACGGAAGCAGTTGCTCAGTGGCTAATATACTGAGCTTGCCAATCATTTGAACTAACAAACAATACAGCATACCTTTATTAAACATCATCAGAAACAATCATCAGAAACAGGTGATGACCAAATTATGACAAAAAATAGGGGGAAACAAGAGGGAAAACTGAAGAGTAGCAAAGAGATAAAAGGACAGAGGACTTAATATCAACAATTTACATTGTTATATATACATATGGGACGAGGTGGCTCAGTGGGTAGGATGCTGAACTTGTCAATTGAAAGGTCGGCAGTTCAGCAGTTTGAATCCCTAGTGCTGCATAACAGGGAGAGCTCCTGTTACTTTTCCCAGCTTCTGCCAACCTAGCAGTTTGAAATGATTTAAAAAATTCAAGTAGAAAAATATGGACCATATTTGGTGGAAAGGTAACAGCGTTCTGGGTGCATTTGGTGTTTGGTCATGCTGGCCACATGACCACAGAGACATCTTCAGACAGTGCTGGCTCTTCCGCTTTGAAATAGAGATGAGCACCGCCCACTATAGTCGGGAATGACTAGCACATATGTGCGAGGAGAAACTTTACCTTTACCTAATGTCTCAAAGTTATGTTTTAGCAAAGAGATTTATCAGATGTCCTTCTATTTTGCAATTAATGAAAAGTGGAAAGGAGCGCTTTTTCTTGGTCTTGGCTTGTGTAAACCCAGAATAGCAGGTGATGATAGGAAATAAGAATTGAATACATCTTCCCTCGTATGATGTTAAAGAAGCAAAAGATTTCAGGACCTTTCTGTTGTTGTGTTTTAGTATTCTGAGACAAATAAAAAGGGCAATGCTAGAATATTACTGATTAGTTAAAAATGAAACTATGTAGAATGAATGGCATACAGAATGAAGACGCCTTTGGCCTTCTGCTGATCACAAAATGCCAAAACATGACAGTGCTGTTTTTTCAAATGACAGGAGAAAACAACTCCCTACAACAACCTCCTAGACCATCTTAACTGCAAAATCTTCCTGAAATTTTCCAACTGTGGAACACCATGCAGACCTCTCTCTTTGACCTGTTTTAATGCCATGCCATCTGCAATGTTGGAAAGGAAAAATAATACAGCTGTTGCAGAGCAAAGTTATCTCGGTTGAAACAACCAGATTCCAGCCCTTATGTTGTTTTGATGTCTTCTCTATTATAACTCCATTTTCTGACAGAAAATCCACATTATCTCTTTCATATACAAACATATCTACATGCATATAAATATATATGTTTTGTTATTGAAAGAATAAACATATTAAGAAGGTGATATTAAAATGGGAGGAATTAAAATTGTCACTATTGGGGAGATATTGCTGCAAAATGAAGAACTACGGAAATGAAGATGGGAAGCCACCTTTTAAATGTTTATTTTCATATTTTTTCATATATATATATATATATATATATATATATATATATATATATATATATATATATTACATAATATTCTTTTGCATTTTAAGAATGTGCCTGATTTCCACTAAGAAAGCTGGAATTCATTTGAAAGATAGGAAATCACAATGGATAGTCTCCAATTGGGGGGAGGCAGATGTGAACAGTTTGGCTTCAATGGGGTTTGTCCTTGGGATGAGCAAAACAACAGAGAGGTGTGGTGTTTTTTCTTTTTCTTTTCTTTTCTTTTCTTTTCTTTTCTTTTCTTTTATTATTTTATTTTATTTTATTTTATTTTATTTTAATTTTATTTTATTTTATTTTATTTTATTTTATTTTATTTTATTTTATTTTATTTTATTTTATTTTTTTTTTTTTTATTTTTTTTTTTTTTATTTTATTTTATTTTATTTTATTTTATTTTATTTTATTTTATTTTATTTTATTTTATTTTATTTTATTTTATTTATATACCGCCCTACTCCCGAAGAACTCAGGGCAGTGAACAGCCAAAAAGATAAAACACACAAACTACAAAAATTAAAACACAATATAAAACCCATTTAGATAATTTGGCCCAAAATTGCTGTTGTTCTTGTTGTTTTCTTGTTTTGTGGAAGGGAAGTGGCTTCTGAAATCAGTGTTTGAGCACTGTATGAAATCAGGAATTGATCATTGCATATGAATCATTGCATATGATTTGCAAAATCAATAAGTCAAACTGTTAAAAAAAAGTCATGTAAACCCAGTTTCAAGGAACAATATCATGGGATCAATTATGGAGGTAGCACAAATGATATCATTTTGCCAGGACCTTTTTAATTAATTCATTCATTCTTCCATCCATCCATCCATCCATCCATCCATCCATCCGTAGCATTTATTTTCTATGGACTTCACAGAGACTCCCCCTTCACTGTTATAAATACAACATTGCAAATAACTGGGACTTTCATGTCTGCATTTAATTATCTTTTTCATCCTTGCTGCTTTGAGGCTTGCTGTCAAATCTCATTATTGCTTGGTGTCAAGTAGAGATATTTTTTTTTTTTTGAGACATGACAAACAAACTGTTCCTTCTTGTTCAAGGTCCCTCAGGGCCTGGGAGTTGGTGGTTATCTCAATAGTAATAACAAGTATAAACATGAAGACATGACAAAACCTATAATCAGAAGACAGGGAGAAACCTCAAATAGATCAAAATCTGTTAATAACTGCCCCTGGAACATCCCCATCTGCAATTCCAGTTAGCTACTGCTTGACCGCATGTGATTTTTATCTCAATGTCTCAGCTTTCCAATTTCTCCATAAGCACAGAAATAAAATATAAAGACAAGTACAGAAACAGGCAGCAACTATTTCTTTTGGACATAAGTTAAAAATCTAGAAGGACAAGACGAGCTGGAGAAAGGTGACACACATTGAAAAATGAATTGTTTTCTTCTATGTATTAGGTCTATAACATTCCTATCAATGCTTTGTCCACAAGGAATGTGTCACCTTTCTCATAGTAAATGCAGCACTGCAGATCCTCTGCCTCTTCTCCACAAACAATACCAGTCAGGGGACATCCACTTTGCTAGCATCATTTCTCAGATCTTCCTGTTTTATATGATGATGGACTTTAAGGCACCTCCTTCTAGAAACCTCTTTGAGGAAAGTATGTAAGTATTGAGTTATGGCCAGAGAGATATATGTCAAATAAACCTGAAGATGAATGAGTGAAATGAGTGAGTGAAAATTCATTATTTGAATTCTGTTATGCATATAACACAACAACATGTATGCTGATATTTTGCATCAAATTCATGTAAGTATTCAGTTATGGTCAGAGAAATATATGTCAAATAGACCTGAAGGGGAGTAAGTGAAAGGGCATTGTATGAATTGTATTATTCATATGATATAGCTACAGGTGTACTGATAGTTTGCATCAAATTCACCATGTAGTCTGGAGTCATCTGTAGCGCATGAAATAATTGCTGGCTATATGTGTTATATCTGTATATTTACAGTATCCCTGCATATGCATAATCATTTTATGTACTTTGCATATTTGGTGCCTTTATTTGCTTGATTGACATTGGATCATCAAATTCCAAGCAAAGAATGTTAGAGAATGGATGTTTATTTCTGTCTAGTTAAGTCTTTGTCATTGTCCCCCTCCCCTAAATTTCACCAATATTAGGGTTGGTCTATGGAACCCAGGTTCTTTTCTTTGGAGATAATGTACAATATACTTTCTTTAATTATATTTTTGAATATTCATATTTATACAAATGGTGCTGCTTCTTTCACAATGACCAAGCTCCATGGGGGGAGTTGAGACCCAAGGTTCCTTCCCTAGTCACTTCTTTTAATGAGCATCCAACCTAATCTAACAAGTAGCACTGTCCTAGTCTTGCCATGTATTTCCAGAGAAAAGATGGAATTGAAGAAAAGGTGGAAAAAGAACTCCATTATAGATCCCATCAGCAACTCTCATAAAAAAAATGTCCAAGAGATTGATGTTCACTGTTGCTTCCTGGGTCAATAGTGAAGGCATCACTGACATGCTAATAATACTGTCCTATAATAAAAATATTGAGATACCTGGCCAAAGAGGAAGCAACTTGGTAAATCTGATGGCCACTATATATTTCAAATAAAGTGCTTTGATTATTTTATTAGCTTAAATAAGTGCAATGAATGAAACTTATTGCTTGTTACATATATAGACTGGATCAACTCCTTATATTACAGTGTATTTGAAAGGAAAGGCAAATAAATATCATATTCTGCAAGAAATGAGTTACATCAAATCATGTTCCTCTCCCTTCAGGGTCATAACACAGATTTACCAACATATCCTGGCTTTAGTATTTGCTGTTAAGGAGATCAATACCAATCCCCATATTTTACCCAATGTTACCCTGGGCTTTCAAATCTATAACAGCCATTTTAATCCAAAATGGATGTACCATGCTACAATTCAACTCCTTTCCTCTAAAGGCAGATTAATTCCTAATTACAACTGTGACATTCAGAAACATCCAGTAGCAATGATTGGAGGACCTGACAGTGATGTATGTCTTCATGTGGCCATCATTCTACACATCTACAAATTTCCTCAGGTAACCATGTATATGTAGTATGGATACAATCCAGTTAAATTTCTCATTTTATATAAATTAGACTTGATCGCTGGCATAAAGTAAACACTGATGGAAATCAAGAGGAACATTTTTCTTTCAAATTTATTTTCAAATCTAAGAAGCACTCTTGTTAATAGTTGGATGTTCCATGTGAGGATGGTGAACCTCATCCATGTTAACTGGATGAGAAAGTTCCTGGTGCACCAAATGTTCTTGACTGAATTCACAAACTAATTTAATAAATAAATTTCTATCCAGAGCTTAGACAATAGAATGCACTAAACGTGAAGATTTATACAGGAAAGGAAGCCCCAAAGAAATCAAAGCAAAATTGAGGCAATATAAATATGATAAATTGGGTCTTAGTCTTAAAAGATTATGGATTATGCTTGAAAGTGTTGGAAGAGTCAAATGCCAAATCTAAGCGTGTTAATATGTTATGGAACTAAACTTTTGCTTTGTGTACTATAATAAAAAAATACATTAAGGCACTTTTTAAAAAATCAAAGCCTATTGTCTCCTTTCTGAATCCTTTTGAATTTCTATAGTTTATGTATGGCTCTGCTCCAGTGACAAATAAGGACAAACAGGCAGGTTTCTATCACCAAATGTTTCCAAATATGAACCTTCAGTATGAGGGAATTCTTCAGCTATTGCAGCATTTTAAATGGACATGGATTGGGGTCGTATCTGTGAATAATGAGAATGGGAGGAAATTTGTACAAAATGTGATACCAATATTTGCCCTAAATGGAATCTGCTTTGACTTCATTGAAAGATTCCCATTGGCTTCTTATTCTACTGACATTGCTGATACGGTGAAAGAAGGGATGGAAATGTACCGCATTATGATGAATAGCACCGCCAATTCGGTGTTGATTCAAGGTGAAATTGAAGTAATGATAGTTTTGAGAATGTTTCCTTCAATGTTAAAATTTGAAGAGATACCAGTACAAGGAAATAGTAAAATATGGATTATGACAGCCCAAATGGATTTCACATCTCTTCCTTTTCAGAGATGGGAAGACCTAGATTTTCTCCATGGTGCTCTATCCTTTGCAGTTCATTCAAGAGAGGTCGTAGGATTTCGGAAATTTCTTCAGAGAAGAAAACCAAACTTTAATGAAGAAGATGACTTTATTAGGGTTTTTTGGGAGGAGGCATTTGGATGTGTGTTCTCAGGCTCCATGGTTGGTGAGAAGAGCAACTCCATAATGGACAGTCCATTGATATGCACTGGGGAGGAGAAGATAGAGACCCTCCTTGTATCTGTTTTTGAAATGGACATGACTGGCCACAGCTACAGCATCTACAATACAGTCTACATTTTGGCACAAGCATTACATGTTGCTTATTCAACTACCTTCAGAAACAGAGCAAGAGTAGGCACAGTAGGACTTATTGAACTTCTCCAACTTCATCCATGGAAGGTAATGACTCCCATCATAAGGGTTTCTTACAGAGGTGGGTTTCAGCAGGTTCTGACCAGTTCTGGAGAACAGGTAGCAGAAATTTTGAGTAGTTTGGAGAACCTGTAGTAAAAATTCTGACTGGCCCTGTCCCATCTATTCTCTGTCTCCCAAGTCCCAGCTGATCGGGAGGAAATGGGGATTTTGCAGTATCCTTCCCCTGGAGTGGGGAGGGAATGGAGATTTTACAGTATCTTTCCCCTGCCATGCCATGCCATGCCATGCCACGCCCACCAAGCCATGCCATGCCATGCCACACCCACCAAGCCACACCCACAGAACTGGTAGTAAAATATTTTGAAACCCACCACTGGTTTCTTCTATCCATTGTGTTAACATATCTCTGACATACAATTGTATAAATTTATCTCCATATCATCGAATGGCCAGATAAATATCTTGTTCAATATCATGTTGCTTTTGGTTATAGTACATTTCCTATCCAATGAAATAAGATTTTAAAAAAAGAAAAAAAGAATAGGGTAAAGCCGCTGATGCCATGGATGAGTGGGGCAGGGGCACATTGTGGTTCTGTGTCATAACGGGCTCCAGGAGGAGAAGATGACCTGATCTGTCCTATTGTGAAGCACGCTAAATTTCATTGTGGTGCACAAGGCGCTGCAAGAGCAGCAGGCAGGCCACTTCGGCCATGAATTGGCAACAGTGGCAGTGGCGCAGGTCGGGTCAGTGGGCAGGCCATGAGGCGGCAGTGGGAAATGCAGCAGGCCAGTGTCTCGGGATGGAGAGCAGGTTACACATCTCCCCAAACAACTGAGGTATGCCCAGCTGCACCAACAAAGGCCAGAAGGCCCACTGTTCCCTGCTGCAATTTTTTTAAAAAATCAACATGACTGTCAGGCAGTGAGACCCAGCAAGAGATGAGGTGCCAGAGAATCAGACCCAGCTGCTTCTCTCTGCTGCAGTGCTTCCCAGATATGGCTTACAGCTCCGAGCCCAAACCAGCAGGAGGTGAGACCCACCTTGAGTGCAAATGTACCCCAATGAAGGCGGAATGGTGTTGCTGTGCAAAGGCAAGTAGTGGAGTGTTTCACTCCCGCACTAAGACTCCGGCCATCACCACTGCCACTTTGACCTACATGCGCTGCCCCAACTTGCTGTGATGTCAAGTTGGCTGCACCCACTCAGTCACATGACCCCCCCCCCTCCAGCATGCCTACCCATCCCGTAATTAGGGAGAACCATTTGTTAAATTACTTGAATCACATCACTGATTTAGCATGTAGGATCCACCCTGGCTCGGTGGAGAAAAGAAAAAGCAATAAATCTCCCTCCTTACAAATATAAGAAGAAAAAAGAAAAAGCAATCAACAGGTTGAACTAATCATTACACTAATCTTCAAATCCCTCTGTTAACCCTCTGTTATGATATTTAACATGCAAAAAGTCCACAAACGGTTTCCAGTCTCTTATAAAACTGTCTAATCCATTATCTCTAATCAAAGCAGTTAATTTTTCCATCTCTGCTAATTCAGTCAATTTCAGAATCCATTCTTGATTCTCGGCATTACTTTTTCTTTCCAGTGTTAGGCAAGAACAATCTTTGCAGCTGTCACCATGTGAAGGAATAGCACCCCAAATTGTTTTTCAATTGGCATATCCATCATACCTAAAAAAAAAGCTTCAGATTTCATTAATATTTGCATCTTAAATATGTTTGCATAGTCATGGTTATGTTTATCCAACATGTTTTCACATATTTGCAAGACCACCACATATGATAAACTGAACCTGGATTTTGACTACGTTTCCAGCACTTATTAGAAATTCCGTTATACATTTTCGATGGTCTATCTGGAGTCAAGTACCAATGATGCATCATTTTATAAAACTATCCCTTAATGTAAATTTTAGTCCATTCGTCCATACATTTTCCCATTTATCTAGCATTATATTATACCCATTTTTTTTGTTCATTTTACCATACACTCTTTAACATATTCATCTTCTAGGTTCATCTGCAGTAACATTTGATATACTTTAGAAATCAAGTGAACATAAATTAATGTACAGTTCAGATTTAGTTCCTGTGAAAAATTTTTTTTAAACAAATCTAAATCTTTCAAAAATTCTATAATAATTAAACCAATCACAAGCAAACCCTTCACTTACCAATTGTTCTCTTTATCTTAAATCCCTCAATAAATCCAATATCATCTCTGTTCTATGTAGTGCTTCATGAGCACTTCCAAAGCTCTGCGGGCCACTCCCCATCCTCACAGCATATCAGGTGCTCACCAATCAGCCTACATTTATGGTTATTGTAGCATCATGGGCCACATGTCAAGGACCTAGATGTACTTATCTCTGATGATCTATGCTCTAAAGTCCACTGTAACAGCATCGCTACAAAAGGATTAAGAGTTGTAAATTTAATTTTAAGCAGTTTTTTTCTGGAAACATCGTATTGCTAATTAGAGCTTATAAAACTTATTCTAGACCCGTGATGGCGAACCTATGGCACGCATGCCACAGGTGGCACGCGGAGCCATATTAGTGGGCACGCCAGCTCAGCTCTGGGGCATATGCGTGCGCCGGCCAACTGATTTTTGGGCCGTTTCGGGCTGTTTCCTGCCTCTGGAGGGCCTGGGGGTGGGGTGGGGAAGGCCCGTTTTTTTTTTCTTACCTGGCTCCAGATCCTCTCTGTGTATCTGGGAACAGTGAAAACAGCCTTTCCCACTTCCTTGGAGGCCCTATGGAGGCTCAAAGGGTCCATTTCCCCACTCCCGGTGGGACAAGAAGTGATGTTTTTTCCTGTCCCCAGCCTACAGAGACTCCTAGAGAGGCTCCTAGAGACGCCTAGAGAGGTTCTGGAGGCTGGGGACAGCAAAAAATGTCACTTCCTGTCCCACCGGGAGTTGGGAAATGGGCATTTTTAGGCTCCGTAGGGCCTCCAAGGGAGTGGGAAAGGCTGTTTTCGCCATTCCCAGATACACAGAGAGGATCTGGAACTAGGTAAGAAAGAAAAACAGGCCTACAAGGCCATCATGTGCCAGGAGCGGGGGGAGGGGAGGGGGGTTGCGCACACATGTGCGTGGGCACGTGCGTGCGCGACCCTCCCCCCGCCCCCCCTCTCCCAGCACGCGATGGCAAAAAGGTTAGCCATCACTGTTCTAGACCAATCTTAGAGTATTGTTCAATGGAATCCCCACTAGATATCTGACATCAGCACAATTGAGCGAGTTCAGAAGTATTTCACAAGAAAAGTTTTGCACTCTTCGGTACACCACAGAATTCCCTATGCTACTAGGCTCAGAATTCTCGGTTTGGATAACTTAGAACTGTGTCGCTTGCGGTCAGACCTAGGTATTGCATACAAAATTATACGTAGTAATGTTTTACCTGCAAATGATTTTTTCTGTTTTAATTGCAATTATATGCGTGCCAACAACCACTTAAAACTCAATGAAATCGTTCTAAACTTGACTGTAAAAAATATGATAAGTCTGGAATGCTCTACCTAATTGTTTCAGCTACAGATTTCCATAGTTTCAGTGACAAATTGACTTCTGTATTAAGTATGACAACTTAATCATACTTAACTATGAGGAGCCTTGGTAGTACAGTAGTTTAATGCACCCTGTAATTAACACAGCTGCCTGCAATTTCTGCAGGTTCGAATCTTACCAGGCTCAAGGTTGACTCAGCCTTCCATCCTTTCTAAGGTAGGTTAAATGAGGACCCAGTTTGTGGGGGCAATAAGCTGACTTTGTATAAATATACAAAAGTATGAAGGCTATTGCTTAACGCATTGTAAGCTGCCCTGAGTCTCCGGAGAAGGGCGGCATATAAATCAAATAAAAAAAAAAGTGGTCAGTAGAAAGGGTGTGCTTAAGTGCACTAAGGTGCCTATTGGTCCTGTCATTGTTTTTCTATTCTTTTATTCTTGCTCTCGTCTTTGTCTGACAAATTCTAATAAATAAAATTAAAATAAATAAATAAGGCAATAGTGGCACTTTTTCAGCTAATCTTTTTTTATACTTCCATGTGCAATCAATTATCTAATAGCATGAATCCTAAAACGAGGATTAACTTTTACTTTGTCAGACCACGGATAGGCATACCACCCAAATCAAAACCTTCAAGGTCTAACAACCTTGGATTTTTTAAAGTTATCCAATCTTTCAACCATACCAGAAAACCTTAACCCTTAAATTTAACTTGAATGATTACTACCATTCTGAAAAGGACTATACTTAAAAGCATTTTAGCACTTATTATTATCATCTCCCTTTTAACTTTGTTATGAGGGAAGTGGGAATTTGCTGAATTGATCAAATGACAGCATGCAAGTACTATATGGTGAATCAATTCAATTCTTTTTTTAATTTTTTATTGAAATTTATTATAATACAATACAATACAATACAACCAGTCAGACAGTGTTATTTTTCTATGCAGGTTAGATTGATTCTTTTTTTACATTTCATCGTAATGTAACGTAATTTCCATATGCATCTTAAAATTTATATTAACTCAATATATCAAGGGGTTCAATTAAGCTAACCTGGCAACTTCTAATAGCTACTTGCTTCCTCACTGCAAATCCCAATAAAAGGTTAACAAATTTTGTGTGGAAAAATAAACAAATTTCTTAAAGCACTTTCTCTGGCTCAGATTATGAGGTTCAAATATGCTTGCATGACTTTGAGAACTTATCACAAAATGGAGACAAGTCCCTTCCATTAAGATATAACCTACATGTAAAAACTATCCTTTCTTTTCCATACTTTGGAAATATACTTTGTGAAATGGAGGTAGGCTTTCATCATTTTACAGATTCTGATGAATTGTTTGTCCCCTCCCTTTATTCTTTGTTTGCAGCTCAATCAAATAGTAAGAAGCATCTCATTCAATAATACTGCAGGAGAAACACTATCTTTCAACCAAAACGGAGAACTAAAGGCTGGGTTTGATGTCATCAATTGGGTTACATTCCCAAATAAATCCTTTTTGAAAGTCAAAGTTGGTGGAATAGGATCTCTGACTTCCCAAGAGGACAGGTTAAAAATGGATGAAAAATTGATCATTTGGCCAAGCAGGTTTAACCAGGTTTGGATAATCTAGGATGAGGTTACTAATGTTTTAACTGAATAGATGTCACCTGTGGGATAATTCCTGTGATTCCTATGTCTGAAATACTAAAAGATGTGCCTGGGAAAACTTATAAGGATTGATGTTATAGGAAGGGAGGTTTAATTGCCGTACAGTACTCCTGCAAGTTAGAAGAAGAAAAAAATGCCTTTAGAAGTGATGTACTAACCAGGTGAACAAAGCTTTTACACATTTAGACAGAGCAGAAAAGGTGAATATTTTAAGTGTAACCAAAATAAATCCCCTAAAAATTAGGAGAAATATTTATTCTATAAGAACCTCTTAATTATGTGTTGGAAGAAATATCCATTTGGTTCAGTTCCAAGCTGAGAGAAAGACACTGGAAACATGAAGGCTGATTGGAAAGATGGTTTAATGATGAAGCAGAACCACCAAACACATGGTTCTCTGGTGCAGCTGAACACATGGAGTTGAGAGTGAGGGGTATTTATACCTTCTCTTGGGCTTTGAACTTGAACTTCCTGTTCCTGTGCAAGAACATGCATTCTATTGGCTGTTGTAGGGGACATAGCTCTGTAGGTTGTCTCAGGTTTTCTTGAAGTTTTCTGGGTGATATAAAGTCCTTAGGAGATTCTGCAATATAGTGCTGCTAGTGGGTTAATCTTATTGTGTCCTGGAAGGTCATGTTTTAATGCCCTCACCCTGAAGCTGAAAGTCTTTTGTTTTGTAGATAGGATGGCCCAGTCTCTCTTAATGGGCACAAAATATCTGCTGGGGGGAGGGAGTTTGGGCTGAGTTTCTGTCTCCCTTAAGATTTCTATTTCTCTCTTAGGAGATATATTTTATCCTGGCTTTTTAAATATTCCTCAAAATATTTCATTCTTCTAGGAGATGGGTGGGTGCAAACTTTCTACATACATAATCCATATCATTATGCAAAACATATCATCTTAAATCACAGCAGGAATTGGCATAGAATAGTACTTGGTTGATGGTATAGAAACTAAACCATGTGATTTCTTTTAGTAGTAATTTACCAGAATACTAGAAAAGGCTGTAGGAAGCTGACAAAATACAAAGGAGACAAAGTAAACTATATTAGCAATAGGAATAGAAATAGCACATAGACTTATAAACTGCTTCATATTGCCTTACAGCAGTTTCTGTGCAATTTCAGCTTATTGCTCCCAACAATCTGGGTCCTCATTTTATCGAAATGGAAAGATGGAAGGCTGAGTCAACCTTGAATTCATCAGGCTGTGGGTAGAGTTAGCCTGCAAGACTACATTCTAATCACAGAGCCACAACAAAGACTATTTGTGGAAGCTCTGTAAATCCCATGGCATTTTCTTCCCTTTTTTTTTCACTGACCACTCACAAGGATTTCCACCAAACCTGATACACAGTGGTAGCTTTGTAGACCAGAACAGTCTTGCAATATGCAAACAATTCTCTTCTATCCTTTATGAACAGGTCCGCCCACTTTCTCTGTGTAATAACTATTGCCCTTTGGGTTATGCTAAGAACAAGATAGAAGGGAAGCCATTTTGTTGTTACGACTGTCTTCACTGTCCAGAAGGAAAGATTTCAAATGGAATAGGTGAGTGATGAACAATGAGTGATGCAGATTTTACAGATGTATTGATATTAGGTACCGTAAATATTCATTTTTGTGCAGATGAAACATTTTCACAGTTTAGAATCGAATCGACTAGAATCGACTAGAGTAGAACAGAACAGAACAGAACAGAACAGAATAGAATAACAAAGTTGCAAGGGGCCTTGGAGGTCTTCTAGTCCAATCCCCTGCCCAGGCAGGAAATCCTACACCACTTCAGACAAATGGTTATCCATCATCTTCTTAAAAATTTCCAGTTTTGGAGCATTCACAACTTCTGCTAGCAAGTTGTTCCACTGATTAATTGTTCTAACTGTCAAGTAATTTCTGTTTAGTTCTAAGTTGTTTCTCTCCTTGATTAGTTTCCACCCATTGCTTCTTGTTCTACCCTCAGGTGGTTTGGAGAATAGTTTGACTCCCTCTTCTTTGTGACAACCCCTGAGATATTGGAACACTGCTATCATGTCTCCCCTAGTCCTTCTTTTCATTAAACTAGACATATCCAGTTCCTGCAACTGTTCTTCATATGTTTTAGCCTCCAGTCCCCTAATCATCTTTATTGCTCTTTTCTGCACTCTTTCTAGATGCAGAGAAGATTATAGATGCAGTGTAAATGTATAATATGATATGAATACAGATCTTAACACCATTTTGTCCCACAGTAGATAATTCCCTATTTTCTCTGGGCAGCTCACATATTGGCAGTGGTGGGATGCTGAGATAGTTGATATTCAGGCTGTGCAGAGATTGAGATCAAATCCATATTAACTACTTCAGAAGACCATCTTCAACAGTTCAAGCTGTCATGTCATTCCATGAAAAGGCTATGTGTGTTTGGATGATGTAGAGGGGATATAATTTTGTACTCCTGCAAACCAGAAGCCATGTTTGGAGATAAAATCCTATGCTCTCCACAGCTTTATTTGGCATTTCTATGTTGAATTAAACAATGTGATTGATCGTAAAAAAATGGCACAATGGAATTAGAGAGAAATATTTATGGAAGTCCTTCTAATGCGGGTAGAGGAAGTCCTTCTAATGCGGGTAGAGGAAGTCCTTCTAATGCGGGTAGAGGAAGAAGCACAGAGGAGAAATGCAGAACTAGCAGCAAAGTGAATAGCTGTATTTAGAGTGGGGATGATCACACCGATGGAAGACAAAAAGACCAGATTAGGGACATGTTCCATGGAGAATGTCTATTTATGTGTCCTAAGAGTTGACACCAGGTTGACTGCACATAATCAGTAAGTAATGTCACTTCCTTGTACAAGGACATGGCAATAAATCGGAGGGAAATAATCCTTATTTCTCAGAGCTCTTTGATAACTTTTTCTGTGAGGAAAAACAGGGTCATGAACACGCTTTCCTTTTTCATGCATCCTTCCCCTTTGTATTTGCAATGTCATTGAAAGGATCTACTTCCTACAATGTAGGTGGAGTCCTGAAAGAGAACAGGTGGCTTTTCAATCTGCTGCAAACTTTCTTACCATACTTCCAACTGCACAACTTGTCTATTTCACACTTAATGATACAAATAAAGGCGCTCTAACTCTTACATCCATTTCTTTATTTCTTCATCACCCACATTTTTACTTCATGTCGCCTCAGTAATGACAAACAATTTGGTATAGTGGTTAAGTTATGGAAGTTGGAGTGGCAAACCTAAGTTCCAGTCTTGTCTTGGCAGATCCTGGTGACCTTTTACTGGTCAATCCCACTGAGATTTAATAAAATGGTCATATTAAACAATTTGCAAAAAATTTTTCAAGAATCTTCATCGATTTTCAAAGTCTGTCTTAAAAACAAATACATGTAAATATTTCAATAATGTTTTCTAATGCTGGTCTTATCATTAGAATCTTTTTTCCAGTTTTACTCCTAATAAAATTTAACTTAAAAGAAAAGCTCATATGCTTATTGTGCCAGCAGTTACAGGGCTGAAGAGCTCAGACTGAGATAACAAAACTTCATGCTATCCTCAGAGCAGTGCATTCATATTCTTTGAGTTTAATTTTAAAACAATTATGTTTCTAACCTGATTTTTTTCCTAGATATGGATGACTGTTTTCCATGTCCAGAAGATCAGTATCCAAACAAGGAACAGAATTCATGTCTTCCAAAAACTGTAACATTTCTGACATATGAGGAAACGTTGGGGTTCATCTTGGCCATTTGTTCTCTTTCTTCCTCTTTTATCATAGTGTTGGTGCTGGGTATCTTCATTAAGTACCAGGATACGCCCATTGTCAAGGCCAACAACCGAAACCTCACCTACATCCTTCTCATTTCTCTCCTCTTTTCATTCCTTTGCGCTTTACTATTTATTGGCAAACCTCATAAAGTGACCTGTCTCCTTCGACAAAGTGCTTTTGGTGTCATTTTTACTGTAGCTGTATCATGTGTGTTAGCAAAAACTATTGTGGTGGTTTTAGCTTTCATGGCCACCCAACCAAAGTCTATAATGAGGAAATGGGTGGGGAAAAGATTGGCCATTTCCATTGTATTTTTCTGCTCTTTCATTCAAGTAGTTCTTTGTACTGTCTGGCTGTTAACTTTTCCTCCATTCCCTGATTTCAACATGCACTTAATGGTGGAAGAAATTGTTCTGGAATGTAATGAAAACTCCTTTGTCATGTTCTACTGTGTCTTGGGCTTCATGTTCCTCTTAGCCCTTGTCAGCTTTACTGTAGCTTTCTTTGCCAGGAAATTACCAGACTCTTTTAACGAAGCCAAATTTATCACCTTCAGCATGTTGATTTTCTGCAGTGTTTGGCTCTCCTTTGTTCCTAGTTATCTGACTACAGGGGGCAAACATATGGTGGCTGTGGAGATCTTCTCCATTATAGCATCCAGTGGGGGGCTCCTTGTGTGCATCTTTTTCCCTAAATGCTTTATCATCATACTGAGGCCTGAACTGAATAGCAAGCAGTATATAAAACAGAGAAATAACTGAGAGATCTACAACTGCATTACCTTCTATTATTTTACCCATGAGAAATCAGTAAGACCCCAAAGTGAAGACCTGCAACCTTTTGCCATTTGATGATGATGTTGTTATCCATTCAATTGTATCTGAGTCTTGGTTATTCTATGGGACAGATTTCTCCACATCTTCCCATTTTGCCCTTCTTCTTGTGTACAGGGGCCATTTTGATTCCTCTCCCATATCCATATCTTCTGTTTATTTATTGCATTATTAAAGAATGACAGGACATTAGAAGTTTCTTACAATATCACCTTAAATATGATTTCACAAAATGATTTATTGATATGTTGCTGAAATCCACAAAAATGTACTGGGTATAACTGATAGTGAAGAATGATGGGAGATATTGCAGAATAGTGTATGCCACATATTTTCCACCAAGGGTTTGAAATTGACTATAAATCTTCATCAGGGCAAAGCAATAGATGCAATTAACATAGACTTCTGTAAAGCCTTTGATTCAGTGGTACATGACAAGCTACTTCTAAAGTCAAAGATCCATCCCCTGCACCCACAAGTCCATCACATGGTCCAATCAATTCACTGTCCCAACCCCCAGTCACTCCCATCCAGGTGCAGGCCAAATGCCCTTGACTCTCAGAGAAAGGAATGTTGTTATGGCTAATTCTCCACCACTCCATGCAAACCCCCCTCTCATTTTCCCAGGCAATAAATGTGGTAAAGATGGTTTCTAGGGCTGACAGGAGATGAAAAGCCATATAATGCAAATATCACTCTAAATAAAGACATAGTAAGATAACATTCAAATACTTAATGGCCACTTAATGAGAAGGAAGGCATCATTGGAGAAGAGACTAATGCTGGGAACGATTGAGGGCAAAAGAAGAACAGGATGACAGAGAATGAGGTGACAGGATGGAGTCACTGAAGCAGTCAGCCTGAGCTTAAATAGTCTCCGGGGGATGATAGAGGACAGGAAGGCCTGAAGGAACGCTGTCCATGGGGTCGTCATGGGTCAGACACAACTTCGCAACTAACAACAGCAAGAAAAGATACCATGGTCATGTCAAGTCTTTTCCTCTTGGTCATCTTGGAGAATAGGCTGGTGGCCATGAAAAGTATGACTACAAAGATAAGAAATGGCCATTGAGAAGATTACTTCAAAGCAATTTGGTGAAGGATAGTTGTCACTTTGTCAAGTTGGCCACTTTGTCAAGTTACCCAATGGGGAAAGAACCATGCATGATCCACAAAGCCAGCTTATGTCTCTAAATATAAGACTAAAATGAGTAATCATTATTAAGGCTTTGGCACATTTCAGAATTAAAGATGCTTCATGGAGTTTAGAGATATTCATGTATCCCATGTATACAGTATAATTCTTGAACCCTTGTGAACTCCCTGCCCCAGTGTTGTACTTCCCAACTACAATCCCATGATTTTTCCCATATAAAAATTAAAACTAGAATGGAAAGGTTTGCATAATCTTCCATTAGCTCTTGCATATAGGTAAATGTCATCAAATACTTTGGCTACTTAATGAAAAGAGAGGACACATTGAAAGGACATTGGGAAAGATTGAAGGCAAACAGAGAAGCAGCAGAAGATGAGATAGTTAGATAGTGTCATTGATTCAATGAACCCGAATTTGGGCAAATTTTGGAAGACTGTGGAGATGAGTGGGGCCTGGTGTGCTATAGTCAATGGAGTTGCAAAGAGTCAGACACATTTGCAATAGTCTAAAAGCAGTTAGAAAACCACATTATCAGGGGTGAAATGCTACCGGTTTGGACCGGTTCAGCCGAATTGGTAGCGATGGCAGCGGGTGGTTCAGAGAACTGGTAGCGACGGCAGTGCGAGGCTCTGCCCACCCACCCGATCGTCGTTACTTCCTGGTTTTAACCAGGAAGTAACTTGGTTTTTTTTACTCTCTGTGCATGCACAGAAGGGTTTGTGCATGCATAGAGTGTCCGCGCGTGCACGTGATGTACGGCGCATGCACTTCCGAACCAGTAGGGAAAGTAAGTAGACTTCACCCCTGCACATTATCTACAGGTAAGGGAATTCTCCAACTATTGCAGCATTTTAAATGGACGTGGATTGGGGTCGTATCTCTAAATAATGACAATGGGGAGAAATTCGTACAAAATGTGATACCCATTTTTTCCCAGAGTGGAACTGCTTTGATTTCGTTGAAAGATTCCCATTTGTTTCTTATTTGACTGACATTCTTTGTACAGTGAAAGAAGGGATGCAAATGTACAGCATTGTCATGAATAGCACTGTCAATTCAGTGCTAATTCAAGGGGAAATTGAGGTAATGGTAGTTTTGAGAATGTTTCCCACTATAGCAAAATAGGAAGAGATGTCATTACAAGGAAATAGTAAAATCTGGATTATGACAGCGCAGATGGATTTCACGTCTCTTCCCTTTCAGAGATGGGAAGATCCAGATTTTCTCCATGGTGCTCTATCCTTTGCAGTTCATTGAAGAGAGGTCCTAGGGTTTCGGGAATTTCTTCAGACAAGAAAACCAAACTTTAATGAAGAAGATGACTTTATTAGGGTTTTTTGGAAGGAGGCATTTGTATGTGTGTTCTCGGGCTCCATGGCTAATGAGAAAACCAACAATATAGACAGTCAACCAATTTGCACTGGGAAGGAGAAGATAGAGACCCTCCCTGTATCTGTTTTTGAAATGGACATAACTGGCCACAGCTCTACCATCTACAATGCCATCTATATTTTGGCACAAGCATTATGTGTTGCTCTTTCAACAACCTTCCATCATAGAAGAAGAACAGGCAAAGTAGGATTTATTGAACTTCTCAAACTTCATCATGGAAGGTAATGTCTCAAGTGATATGGCTTTTTTCTTTCCATTATGTTAACATATGTCAGACTCAGAAGAAAGGCTGGTCCAGTGTTGCAATGCATAAATTAGCATGATTTTTTATATACTGTTTCTATTTTTCCCCTGACAATTGTATTGTCAGTTCTGGGTATCTTCATTAAGTACCAGGATACGCCCATCTTCAAGGCCAACAACCGAAACCTCACCTACATCCTTCTCATTTCTCTCCTGCTTTCGTTCCTTTGTTCTTTACTATTTATTTGCCAACCTCACAAAATTACTTGTGTCCTTCGACAAAGTGCTTTTGGTGTTATTTTTACTGTAGATGTATCATGTGTTAGCAAAAACTATTGTGGTGGTTTTAGCTTTCATGGCCACCCAACCAAAGTCTACTATAAGGAAATGGGTGGGGAAAAGATTGGCCATTTCCATTGTATTTTTCTGCTCTTTCATTCAAGTAGTTCTTTGTACTGTCTGGCTGTTGACCTTTCCTCCATTCCCTGATTTCAACATGCACTTAATGGCAGAAGAAATTGTTCTGGAATGTAATGAAAACTCCTTTGTCATGTTCTACTGTGTCTTGGGCTTCATGTTCCTCTTAGCCCTTGTCAGCTTTACTGTAGCTTTCTTTGCCAGGAAATTACCAGACTCTTTTAACGAAGCCAAATTTATCACCTTCAGGATGTTGATTTTCTGCAGTGTTTGGCTCTCCTTTGTTCCTAGATATCTGACCACAAGAGGCAAACATATGGTCTTCTCAATCATGACATCCAGTGGGGGGCTCCTTGTATACATCTTCTTCTATAAATGCTTTATCATCATACCGAGGCCAGAACTGAATAGCACGCAACAACTGAGAGAAAGAAACACCTAAAATATCTAGAACTTTGCCTTTTTAAAAATTTAGCACTAAGAAGTATAGCCCTTTGCCATCAATCAATCAATCAATCAATCAATCAATCAATCAATCACTCAATCTAAAGAATAAGATCTGGTGGTATGGAAGGATCAATTGAAATCTTCCAGGACACAAAGAGAAAACTTACCTATTCTGTTTTCTAAATGCAATATTGTATTTGCTAAGGAAAGGCCCTGATTTCTTTTAAACTAGCTTTTACCTGAAGCTTCAAAATCATCTTAACTAAACCTGCTTAATGTTTTTTTTGGAGACGCTTACCATTTTAAAGCCTAATATTTTCCTTAGCCTCAATTCCCATCCTTTAAAAACCTTTTTTTAAAAATTCTTAATAAACTCTAATATTATATAGACTTTTTTTCATTCATGACAAGTTATTTCTTGAAAAGGTTAGAAATGGCCTTGTGCCCCGAAGGTCTATTTTGTGCAAACTCATTTATCACATCCGGTTCTGTTGGGCAGATTTGGGGTTTACACTGCTCTTTATAAGCATACCTTAAATTGTTGAAAGATTTTCAACATGTGTCCATTGCAGAAGTCATTTTTTTTAAGTTTATTTGCATATGGTTCAGCTTTAGTACTGAATCCCAAATCCCAAGAAATTTTCCTTCATCAACTGTACCCATCAGTATATTTCAATTCAGAAACCTTACATCAGAAAAAGATCTTGTTCACCGCCCTCCCCCCACTGTTCCCTCCCCCCCTCCCCAGATTTTTGGGGAGAGGCATTTTAGTACTCTTTCTTTAATCCCAATGTAGAAATGAAAGGAAACTGCACTGGAAAAGAGATGTCAGAAGTAGGTTCTGGATCTGTTTTTTAAATAAGCATGACCAGAATCAGAATCAGAATCAGAATCAGAATCAGAATCAGAATCAGAATAGAATAGAATAGAATAGAATAGAATAGAATAGAATAGAATAGAATAGAATAGAATAGAATAGAATAGAATAGAATAGAATCAGAGGTGAAATGCTCCCGGTTCGGATCCGGTAGCGATGGAGGCGGGTGGTTCGGAGAACCGGTAGCAAAAATCCCTGCCCCCTTCCCCCCCCATGCCCAACTGAGCCGCACAATCATCAGAGGCTTTTTTTTTTTTTTTTTACTTTTAAAAGCATTTTTCCTACAACCTCTTTGGCCAAAAAAATGCTTTTAAAAGTAAAAAAAAAAAAGCCTCTGATGATCACGCGGCTCAGCTGGAAATGTCAAAGGCTTTTAAAAGCATTTTTTCTACAACCTCTTCAGAGTTGCCTGATCTGCAGAGGCTTTTTTTCTTTTAAATGCCTCTGATGATCAGGCAACTCAGCTTGGATCGTCAGAGGCTTTTAAAAGAAAAAATTCGGAGAGAGCGAAGCGAGCGCACACGCATGGTGCCTGCGCTTCCAAACCAGTAAGGAAGGTATGTAGATTTCACCCCTGACTAGGAGGACCTGGTACCTTTTATAGAACATTGCTGCTAGTTGTTATGTATATTTAATCATATGTCATTGCTTATTTTTTACAGTTTTACCTGAACTTTTAATAAAGATCAAATGGTGAAATTCTGCCTCTTGGCAAGAAAGCCTAACTGGCTGGATAGCTTTCCATAGAGCCACAGGGTTACAGATTAGTGAGCCAGAACACTATTTATTCTTAGACGTTCCTCCTCTCCAAATTGAACCCCATTTCTGACACTGTTCTAGGATAAAGCCAACCCTTTCTAGACTTGGCTTGTGTTCCAACAAAAATTTAGTCAACATAAAGCACTTCTGGATCTATTTGTTTTTTAAATTTGTTACTCCTGTGGCTACCTAGCAGTAAGATTGCCCCACTGAGGTAAGGGTAGTTTGTGGATATCTACTAAACAATGCATTCTTTTAAAACCCATATTAAAGGTAATATGGACATATGTGCTAGTCGTTCCCGACTCTAGGAGGCAGTGCTCTTCTACATTTCAAAGCCAAAGAGCCAGCGCTATCCGAAGACGTCTCCATGGTCATGTGGCTGGCATGACTAAATACCAAAGGCACACAGAATGCTGTTACCTTCCCACCAAAGGTGGTTCCTAGTTTTCTACTTGCATTTTTTAATATGCTTTCAAACTGCTAGGTTGGCAGAAGCTGGGACAAGTAACGGGAGCTCACTCCATTATGCTGCGCTAGGGATTTGAACCACTGAACTGCCAACCTCCTGATTGACAAGCTCAGCATCTTAGACACTGAACCACTGTGTCCCTATTCTATATTACAGAAAATTTATTCTATGTAATTATCAAATCAACCGTTGTTACTTCTATTTCATTATCAACACCCTAGAGAATACTACCTGCAATAACAAAACAAGGCATCAAGACAAATACTTGAAAGGATAAAGTCAAGCACATTTTCACCTGTCTATTCAAATGATTGGTCCACAGCCTTCCAAAATTGGCTTATTTATTATTTAAATTTAAATTTCTATACCGCCCTTCTCCAGAATAGGACTGTCAATATGTCTGACTTAAATGCCCAGGTTGATTGATCCTGAAGGGAGAATAGTAGGCAAAATGTTGGCGACCTTGATTTTAGTGATGATAGAGCTTCAGATGATTGGTAATTGTCTTCCTTTGAAATGTCCAATGAGTCTCCCTCTTTCAATTCCACATCAGTATTATTATCCCGGAGATTTTATCATTGGTGGCATTCTTTCTCAATTCTATGTATTATCCAATCAAATCACTTTTCAAAGAGACCCTTCTCATGATGTATTTGATACTACTGTGTAAGTGTTCTACTTTCTAACTGTATCACATACCCAGGTACACCTTAATTTAATAGCTAATTTAATTATCTGCGAGATTATCATTGCAGCATCAATTTTCAGGGGAAAAGGGTACTCCTCTCTCTTCAAAGTTACCCCTTTTTCCCAAAGTGAAGTTATGTATCAGTGGATGAATATGCTATTTGAGCCTTACTCCCTGTTAGGATATCTATGATGATCTCAGGTCTCAACCATTTTCTTTTATATAACTATCACATCAAATGAATGTTGCCTTAAATGAAAAAAAAACCCTGATGCATAAAGCCCCACTAATAAATGTTGTTTTGATAAAGTTTCATTAAATTTGGGACAATTGCATTCAGTGCCTTGTTTTGGGAATATTTTAAATACTTTAGTGCTGTTCTTGAGCACAGATTTTAATCACTAAAGGTCAGGATGATTTACATCCAAAGAACTTTATGATTTTATGAGAAAATATTTGTTAAACCTTGTACCTATATAAAAGACACGTGCCTGCCTTTTCAAATTCTGCATAAGTAGTAGGATTTTTCCATACTGGGAAAGGACTGCAGATTGGTAATACGTACTGTAAATCCCCATGAAATGTGGAATGATCCCTGACCAAAGAATCCTTTACTTATGTCCTAAATCAAAATTCTGCATTTTAAATCATGTTTAAATTATCATATTTGGAGGCATGTTTCTCTAAATAAATGAGGCTTTACACATAACTTTAAAACAAGAAAAAGGCATATTTATAAAGGATGTACCATTGAAATATAAACAGTTGAGCACTGCTTGGTGTATTCCTTCCTGTAATCACTTATTATTTGAAAACAGAATGACCACTAAGTAATAATTAAAATAATAGTAATTTTTGAAACCTTTTCCCCACTTTCTTGGTCTATGGAGAATACAATCCATTTTAAAGCAGTAAATATATTTTATTCATCTTGTGAAATGGTGTGCATACAATACTTTAAAAAAGATAAAAGATTCATTAACTTTTCTTTCTTTCTTTCTTTCTTTTCTTTCTTTCTTTCTTTCTTTCTTTCTTTCTTTCTTTCTTTCTTTCTTTCTTTCTTTCTTTCTTTTGCAGTGTAATAACTCAAAGCTATCAGCATATCCTAGCTTTGCAATTTGCTGTAAAGATAATTAATGAAAATCCAAGGATCTTGCCTAACATCACACTAGGGTTCCATGTTCTGAACAGCAATTTCCAGCCAAGGTGGATTTTGTGTGCCTCGGTGGAACTTCTCTCCACACGGGGCAGGGTTTTTCCAAATTACAAGTGTGATGCACAAGCAACAGTAGCTGTTATTGGAGGACCTAATGCTGATGTATGTCTCTTCATGGCAACCTTTATGCACATCTACAAATTTCCACAAGTGAGTTGTCCTCAGAAACACAGTTGAATTTTTAGTGTTTGTTTCATTGTGTTTTGTAATTTGACCTCATTGAAGATCAACTCATGATCATGTAAAAATCTTTTAATCTTACTTCTCAGAGTTCTGACTGAAATCATTTATTATTTTCAAATTTTTTCCTTAATGATTTGAAATAGTTTTTTTTTTTTTTTTGGCAATGATTTTGCCAAATGTTTATTGAGTACGCTGAGTCTTCAGATCATAAATGAATGTTAAAATACTGCATAAAGGTAAAGGTAAAGTTTCCCCTCGCACATATGTGTTAGTCATTCCTGATTCTACAGGACGGTGCTCATCTCCATTATTAAGCCAAAGAGCCAGCACTGTCTGAAGACGTCTCCTTGGTCATGTGGCCGGCATGACTAAATGCTGAAGGTGCATGGAACACCGAAGGCGCACAGAACACTGTTACCTTCCCACCCAAGGTGGTCCCTATTTTTCTACTTGCATTATTACATGCTTTCAAACTGCTAGGTTGGCAGAAGCTGGGACAAGTAACAGGAGCTCACCCCATTACACGGCATTAGGGATTTGAACTACTGACCTTTCTGATCACCAAAATATACCGCGTCCCACAAAATATTGCATATAAAGTGAAATTCCTGTGCAAACATACAAAAGACATACATGGACAAGTGTAAGAGAATTCCTACATTCTCTCTACAGGGATCTAATGTTAAGAAGCTTCATCACTAGATTTTAATCAACCTATGTTGTTTCTTGCAAACAAATTTGAGTATGTTAATACATTCCAATTGCTGCATCAGTGTCACTTCAGTCATTAGGAAAACCATACTTATGATTCCTAGAGACACCAACAAGTATTTCTTCTCTTATGCTATTCTTGCAGCATTCAACAACTCTAATAAAATATAAATATTCATAGTCCATTGAGTAATGCATTGGGACAAGGCAAGGAATTTGATAGGACTGCTATTAATCAAACATTGAATTTACAATTTTCTCTTATTTCCCCCCCCCCCCCATTAGTTTGTGTACACTTCAGCTGCAGTGGTGAGTGCCAAATACCAAGCCTTTTTCATTTCCCAGGTATTTCCAGAAATTCACCAACAATATAAGGGGATTCTCCAGCTATTGCTGCATTTCCAGTGGACATGGATTGGAGTGATTTTCATTAATGATGATAGCGGGGAGAGATTTGTAGAAAAAGTGCTGCCCATGTTTGCCCAAGGAAGGATCTGCTTTGATTTTGTGAAAATATTGCCAACAATAAAGGTTTCCAACAAACTCACTGAGGTAGCAGCACAAAGTCTGAACTTAATTAGCATTATTATGGGAGGGACTACCAATGTAATAATTGTACATGGTGAAATTCAGACAATCATGGTTTTAAGGATACTACTTGAGTTATCTAGATTTCATGAAATACCAATGAAACCGAAAGTATGGATTTTCACAGCCCAGATGGATTTTACATCTCTCCCTGTTCAACGTAGCTGGAACATGGACTTCATCCATGGTGCACTCTCTTTTGCAGTTCACACTGAGGAGGTGTTAGGATTTCATCCATTCTTTCAGTTCCGAAAGCTTACATCAGAAAAGGAAGATGGCTTTCTCAAGGATTTTTGGGAAGTGGCCTTTCAGTGTTCTTTCTCCAATGCCACCTCACAAACAGAACCAGGTGGACTCTGTAGCGGGGAGGAAAGTCTGGAGAATCTTCCTGAGTCAGTTTTTGAAATGAGCATGACTGGTCATAGCTACAGCATCTATAATGCTGTCCATGCCATAGCAGAGGGTTTGCATGCTATGCACTCTACGTCAATGAAAAGAACAATAAGGGATAAAGAGTGGCATGAGACGGTCTATCGAGAGCCATGGCAGGTAACTTCAAAATAAAATTATTGCATGACATATTGCATGTACATTTTTTTTTCTGTCTAGACAAGGAGTTCCATAAGAAAACTCACTGCTGAAGTCCTGGCTGATCATGTAATAGGCCTTTAAATCCAATTGACCTTATGGGACTATTGAGATCATGCCACATAGCGGACAGCCAAAAACAAACAAACAAACTCATGGTCTCCCAGTTTCTATCCTGATCCTGATGCCTTAACCACTATACTAATCTGGCTCTGATAGTAATCTAACATAATAACAAAGTTGGAAGGGACCTTGGTGGTCTTCTAGTCCAACCCCCTGCTCAAGCAGGAAACCGTATACCTTTCCAGACAAGCGGCTGTCTAATCACTTCTTAAAAGCCTCCAGTGATGGAGCACCCACAACTTCTGGTGGCCAACCATTCCGCTGATTAATTGTTCTCACTGTCAGGAAATTTCTCCTTGGTTCTAGGTTCCTTCTTTCCTTTATTAGTTTCCATTCATTGTTTCATCTTCTGGTGCTTTGGCAAATAGGTTGACCCCTCTTCTTTGCAGCAAAAATTGTAACACTGCTATCATGTCAACCCCTAGTCCTTCTTTTCACTAGACTAGTCATACTCACTTCCTGCAACTATTCTTCCATGTTTTAGCCTCCAGTCCCCTAATCATCTTTGTGGCTCTTCTCTGCACTACTGTATCTCAACAACTTTTTTATAATATGGTGACCAAAAATGAATGTAGTATTCCAGGTGTGGTCCTACTAAGGCTTTATAAAGTGGTACTAGTACTTCATATGATCTTGATTATTATATTATTATATTGATTATATAATCTATTGTATTATACTGTATTGTATTGCATTGTGTTGTATATTACATATTACATAATTATTTATTATATTACATGTTGTACTAAAGCCTACTACATATTGTACTAAAGGCTCCAGGCAGGGTGAAAGCTAAAATTTGTTACTACCGGTTCTGTGGGCGTGGCTTGGTGGTGGGGGTAATGTGACTGGGTGGGCATGGCCAACTTTTTTTTTTTTTTACTTTTAAAAGCATTTTTTCTACAACCTTAAGAGGTTGTAGAAAAAAATGCTTTTAGAAGCCTCTGATGATCAGGCAAGTCAACTGGGATCGCCAGAGGTTTTTAAAGGCATTTTTTTCCCTACAACCTCTTCGGCTGAAGACGTTGCAGAAAAAAATGCTTTTAGAAGCTTCTGATGATCAAGCAAATCAGCTGGGATCGCCAGAGGCTTTTAAAGGCATTTTTTTCCTACAACCTTTTCGGCCGAAGGGGTTGCAGAGAAAAATGCTTTGAAAAGCCTCTGAGCTACACGATCATCAGAGGCTTTTTTTTTTTTACTTTTAAAAGCATTCTAAAGGCATTTTTTTTCCCTACAACCTCTTCCGCCGAAGAGGTTATAGAAAAAATGCTTTAAAAGAAAAAAAAAAAAACAGCCTCTGATGAACATGTGGCTCAGCTGGGAATGTGGGGGGGGCACAGGAATTTTTACTACCAGTTCTCCGAACCACCCACCGCCATCGCTACCAGATCAGGCGATCCGGTCAGAACTGGAAGCATTTCACCCCTGGCTCCAGGCCAGAAAGTAAGACTGTCTCAATTCTGGTCCCATCTTAGAAAGCCAGCTGGGTGACTTTGGAACAGTCACTCTCTCTTAGTTCAACTCACTTCTTAGAGTTATTGTTGTGAGGAAAAAAGGTGGAAGCAGTATTAGATATACTCACCACCTAATGTTATTTATAAAAATAACAAAGGTGGGTCTAAAATATATATTATGTATATAATTGTAATATCTACTGCATGTATAAGAAACAGTCATCTATTGTGTATATATTAATAGTCAACCATTATTATTACATTCATTCAAGATTTAGTCAGTCATTACCATTTTCATAACATAATTTATTAATACGATCTTTAAATAAAAATGATTATTATTATTGATATTATTTATTTATTTATTTATTTATTATTCGAATTTCTATACCGCCCTTCTCCTTTCGGACTCAGGGCGGTGAACAGCCAAAATAAAAACATTTATACATAAATACGATTAAAAATAGATTTAAAATAATTAAATTTGGCCCATAGTTTAAAATTTATCAATTTAAAATCCATATCAAAATTTAAAACCAACCATAAAATCATAAAATCAAGAGAGACCAGCTAACTGAAAGAGATGAGTTTTTAGGGCCCGACGAAAGGTCCGGAGGTCGGAGATCACTCGTATCTCTGGGGGTAGATTGTTCCAAAGGGTAGGTGCCACCACAGAGAAGGCTCTCCTCCTGGGGGTCGCCAGCCGGCATTGTCTAGCCGACGGCACCCTGAGGAGGCCCTCTCTGTGGGAGCGAACTGGCCGGTGGGAGGCAATTGGTGGCAGAAGGCGGTCCCGTAAGTACCCCGGCCCTAAGCCATGGAGCGCTTTAAAGGTGGTCACCAACACCTTGAAGCGCACCCGGAAGTCCACCGGAAGCCAATGCAGCTCGCGCAGGAGAGGAGTCACATGGGAGCGCCCAGTCGCTCCCATAATCCCCCGCGCGGCCGCATTCTGCACCAGTTGGAGCCTCCGGGTGCACCCCAAGGGGAGCCCCATGTAGAGAGCATTACAATAGTCCAGACGAGAAGTGACGAGTGCTTGAGTGACTGTGCGTAGGGAGTCCCGATCCAGAAAGGGGCGCAACTGGCGTATCAGGCGAACCTGATAAAAAGCCCCCCTGGCTTACTTCTCTTTCTAATTTAAATTTAGCTTCTCCACTATCTGAGAAGTATCTCATTTAATAACAGTGTCGGTGAAACAATTTCATTTGAGTCAAATGGCAAATTAATAGCTGGATTTGATATTATAAATTGGGTCACATTTCCAAATCAGTCCCTTTTTAGAGTAAAAGTTGGAAGAATGGAATCACAACATTTTCCTGGCAAAATATTCACCATATCTGAGAATAGAAGAGCCTTGGTACTACAGTGGTTTAAAGCACCCTGTTATTAACACAGCTGCCTGCAATTTACTGCTGGTTCGAATCTCTCCAAGGCTCAAGGTTGACTCAGCCTTCCATCCTTTCTAAGGTAGGTTAAATGAGGACCCAGTTTGTGGGGGCAATAAGCTGACTTTGTATAAATATACAAAAGTATGAAGGCTATTGCTTAACGCATTGTAAGCCGCCCTGAGTCTCCGGAGAAGGGTGGCATATAAATCAAATTAAAATATATATATATATATATATACTATTCAATGGCCAAGAGACCTTGCTGAGGTACAGTTCATAGAAACTTTCCATACTGAACTTTAAGAATAAGCACTTCCGAATTTAAAATTCATAGTTTTTATTAATTTATTATCATTGGTGAAATTTAACAAACAAAATAATAATATCACACTCATCTTTTTCCCCAAATCTGGATATTTTAAAGTTTTTTTCCACATTTCATATATATTATCAGTGTTTACATTCAGCTTGTGCTTTTGTTTTCAATAAAAAGGATTTATGATTCTATTTTAAAATAGTTATCTGCTAAATATCCAAGAATTGTAGGTATCTCTGAAGCACCAGCCAGTGGTGTCAAAGTCGATTTCATTGAGGGTCGCACCAGGGTTGTGTTTGACCTTGGGAGGCTGGGGTGGGCATGGCCAGCTTGACATCACTTATGTCAAGGGTACCTGTGGTGGCCTGAGCATTCTGTCAGTGAAAATGGGCTCCTGAGCTCCGTTTTCAGCTGTGACGGCTTCCTGCAACCCTCTGCTGCCCTCCCGAGCTCAGTTTTCACTGGCAGAGGCAGCAAGAGTCTTTTGTTGTTTCCAGGGTGGCCTCTTGGCCCAGATCTAAGCATCCCATGGGCCGGATCCAGCCCCCGGGCCTTGAGTTTGACACCTCTGATCTAAGCCATACCAACTGCTCAACTGAATTGATGTAAAGTTGCCAGATGATTTGTGTATCATATTTGAAATTCGACCACTAAAACTTCTTAAAAACCCCCAGTACATATCAACTGTTTGAAAATGTTGATCCATTTTCTAGCACAGGAGTTTCAAAAAACATTTTGGAGTAAAGTTCATGCTGTAATGTCAGTTTCGACATGATTGTGGATCAAAAGTCCTTCCTTCTTAATACCCAGTTATGTCTAGCAGCTTTCATTGCAGTCCATCTTAGCTTTTAGTAAATTAACCCAAGAACTTGCCAAGATTTTAAAGAAATTATATATGGAGCTGTCTAAAAAGTCCCATTGGGCCAATCAAGTAATTAATTTCTTTTTTACTTAAATGTAGCTTGTTATAAAATAATGTAACTGAAAATGTAAAATTTGTTAGATTGAAGACATAAATTCCCTTTGCCCAGAAAGAGGAGTCATGGTGACTCAGTGGTTAGAATGCAGTATAACAGGCTAACTCTGACTACAACCTGGAGTTCAATGCTGTTGGGACTAAAGTTTGACTCAGCCTTCCATTTTTCTGAGGTTGGTAAAACCAAGACCCAGATTGTTGGGGGCAATATGATGATGTTGTAAGCTGCTCAGAAAGTGTGGTAAAGCACTATAGAGTGGTATATAAGTTTAAGTGCTATTCCTATTGTTATTAATTTTTGCCCCCAAAATTCAATAATTTGTCTGGCTTGATAAAACATCTAATAGGAATTAAATTGGAATACCCATATAGATATAGACCAATTTGTGTCCATTGCAATCATTTATATACTTAAACATATTTAATGTAACCGATAATGATATATTTTGGGGAAATATATAATCCCAAATATTGTATACAATCAAAACAAATATTATACCACAGATAATGTTAATCATTATTTATCAGATAATTAAACATTTATTAATAAATAATTAGTAAGTTAAACTTTGTAAAAATGCACAATTTTTGTAAAGGGTATAAACATCTTTCCCTGGTCTGTTAGAATTTTAGATTTGAAAGTGTTTAGTTTTGATCTTCAAATTCTAAAAAATCAAGAGATCTTTTCTAATTTGAAGTGGCTATAGAATTGTAAATGGGATGCATGTATTCTTAGAAGCCATCCCTGGCTGTGAGGGCATTAAAATTACTGAATAAGCACATTAATATAATTAGACCTTTAAGAAAATTGCAATATGTATGTTGCCAGACCACCACGTTGAATTGTACACTAACCTCATATACTATTTCTGTACAGGGGCGACCCTTTTCTGTTTGCAATGCAAATTGTCGTTCTGGATACAGTAGGACCAAAATTGAAGGAAAACCATTTTGCTGTTACGATTGTCATCCATGCCCAGAAGGGAAAATTTCTAACCTAAATGGTATGAATTTAGAAATACATGGTGGCTGTAGAGATTTCTTCCATCTTGACCTCCAGTGCTGGCTTATTGGCCTGCATCTTTTTACCCAAATGCTACATTATTGTTTGTAGGCCAGGACTGAATAGTAGGAAAAAACTAAGACAAAAACAATTGACAAATGATAGGTAATTTATTAATATTATCATTATTTGTTTAACATTCTGGAGTAGTTCAAAAGAATGCAAACGTGAGTAGATAAATAGCTACCACTTCAGTGGGAAGGTAGCAGTGTCCTGTGCACCTCGGTGTATAGTCATGCTGCCTATTAACATTTATTAATGTTAATAAATTATGAGGATTTTGACTGAATCGCTCCTGAAAATATTTCCTATTTTTATCAAAACTTCATGACCCTGTAATGTTACAATCTAATCCTTTCAGTTTAATTTCAGAACAACTATGTTTCCAATCTGATTCTCCTCCCTCCCCCCCCCCCAGATATGGACGACTGTTTTCCATGCCCAGAAGATCAGTATCCAAACAAGGAAAAGAATTCATGTCTTCCAAAAACTCTAACATTTCTGTCATATGAGGAAACTTTGGGGTCCATCTTGGCCATTTGTTCTCTTTCTTCATCCATTATCATATTGTTGGTTCTGGGTATCTTCATTAAGTGCCAGGATACGCCCATCGTCAAGGCCAACAACCGAAACCTCACCTACATCCTTCTCATTTCTCTCCTGCTTTCGTTCCTTTGTGCTTTACTATTTATTGGCAAACCTCACAAAATGACTTGTGTCCTTCGACAAAGTGCTTTTGGTGTCATTTTTACTGTAGCTGTATCATGCGTGTTAGCAAAAACTATTGTGGTGATTTTAGCTTTCATGGCCACCCAACCAAAGTCTACAATGAGGAAATGGGTGGGGAAAAGATTGGCCATTTCCATTGTATTTTTCTGCTCTTTCATTCAAGTAGTTCTTTGTACTGTCTGGCTGTTGACCTTTCCTCCATTCCCTGATTTCAACATGCACTCAAAGGCAGAAGAAATTATTCTGGAATGTAATGAAAACTCCTTTGTCCTGTTCTACTGTGTCTTGGGCTTCATGTTCCTCTTAGCCCTTGTCAGCTTTACTGTAGCTTTCTTTGCTAGGAAATTACCAGACTCTTTTAACGAAGCCAAATTTATCACCTTCAGCATGTTGATTTTCTGCAGTGTTTGGCTCTCCTTTGTTCCTAGTTATCTGACCACAAGAGGCAAACATATGGTGGCTGTGGAGATCTTCTCAATCATGACATCCAGTGGAGGGCTTCTTGTATGCATCTTCTTCCCTAAATGCTTTATCATCATACTGAGGCCAGAACTGAATAGCAAGCAGCAACTGAGACAAAGAAACACCTAAAATATCTAGAACTTCATTGCCTTTTTTAAAATTTAGCCATACAAAAGCACTAAGAAGTATATCCTTTTGCAATCAATCAATCAATCAATCAGTCAGTCAGTCAGTCAGTCAGACAGTCAATCAATCAATGTAAAGAATAATATCTGGCTGTATGGAACAATCAATTGAAATTTTCCAGGACACAAGGAGGAATCTTACCTACTCTGTTATCTAAATACAATATTGTATTTGCTAAGGAAAGGCCCTGATTTCTTTCAAACTAGCTTTTACCCAAGGTTTCATAATAATCTTAACTGAAGCTACGTAATGTTTTTGGAGGTGCTTACTGTTTTAAAGCCTAATATTTTCCTTAGCTTCAATTCCCATCCTTTAAAAAAAAAAAATTAAAAAAAAATTCTTAATAAACTCTAATATTATATAGACTTTTTTTAAATTTGATGACAAGTTACTTCTTGAAAAGGTTGGATATGGGATTGTGTTTCCATTTTGGATTTCTATTTTGTGCAAACTAATTTATCAGATGTCCTTTTGGACAGAATTGGAGTTTACACTGTTCTTTATAAGCATATCTTAAATTGTTGAAATATTTTCAACATGTGTCCACTGAAAAAGTCATTTTTTTATTACTTTAATTTGCATAGGGTTCAGTTTTGGTACTGAATCCCAGATCCCAAGAGGTTTTCCTTGATCAATTATACCCATATCTTGACCATCAGTATATTGAATAGCAGGAGTCCATTAATTATTTCAATTCTGAAACCTTACACCAGAAAAAGTTGTTGCCCACCCCACCCCCCCCGGGATTTTTGGGAAGAGGCATTTCAGTGCTCTTTCTTTAATCCCAATGTCAAAATGAAAGGAAACTGCATTGGAAAAGAGATGTCAGAAATGGATTCTGGATCTATAATGCTTTTCATGCAATGACAAGTGACATTCATGATATGTATGTATCTATGTTTTGATAGTAGACAAAATAGTGATAAGAATGGAGGAAGAAGGAAGCTTCTCAATGAACAGTCATAGATGGAATTCTTTATGAATATTAAAACAGGAAACCAAATGGCTTTTTTCACTAGCTACAGTAGTGACGATTGTAATGGTTAAGCCAGTTTGAGCTAGTGGTTAAGGCACTAGGCTAGAAACAGGAAGACTGTGAGCTCTATTCCTGTCTTAGGCATGAAAGCCAGCAGGATGACTTTGGGCCAACTCTCTGAGCCCAACTCAGCTCACAGGGTTGTTGTTGTGGGATGGAAAATAGAAGGAGGAAATAGTATTAGATATGTTTACTGCCTTGAGTTGTTTCTAAAAAAAAAATGATAAATCTCTCTCTCATAAAAAAGGCTGTATCTATGTATGTATGTTCTAGCATAACTGTGGAACGCCTTGAGCAATTTCGACCAAACCTGGGTACACAGATGACTTACTTTCTGTGAACAAACACTGTGGGGGTAAGACACCCCTAGCACCCCTAGGTGTGTGTGTGTGTGTGTGTGTGTGTGTGTGTGTATTCCACCTTAACTCTGGAATGCCTCCAGCAATTTCAACCAAACTTGATATACAGATGACTTAACCTCTAGAAACAAATACTGGGGGCTAAGACACCCCTGGTGTGTGTGTGTGTGTGTGTGTGTGTGTGTGTGTGTGTGTGTGTAATGCCTGGTCAATTAAGGAGAGTGAGTGTGGTGTCCTAGAGTGGCAATTGTTTGTGATGTCAGTTCCTTCTTAGCATCCTCTGGAAAAGCCAGCTGTGACATTCACCCTCCAGTGGACCAATGGGGAAGAGCCTGAAGGATTTGGGGCAAAGTGCCAGGATCGTAGACAGGGCAGGAAAGAGAAGCACATGGAGGGGGAAGGGATAGGGCAGAGATGATGGGCATGGAAGTAGGAGGAAGAAAGGCCCTCCCAATGGCTCTCTGTCAGACAAAAGCTTCAACGTCTATAAATACCGGGGCAAAGATACAGCCTGTTGTGCAAGCATAACTCTGGAACGCCTTGAGCAATTTCAACCAAACTTGGTACACAGATGACTTACTCCCTGTAAAGAAATACTGTGGAGGTAAGGTACCCATTACATCCTTCGGGTGGTGTTATATTAAGAGCTTTGGTAGTACAGAGGTTTAAGGCACCCTGTTATTAAGCTGGTTATTAAGACCAGCTGCCTGCAATTACTGCAGGGTTCGAATCTCGCTAAGGCTCAAGGTTGACTCAGCCTTCCATCCTTTCTAAGGTAGGTAAATTGAGGACCCAGTTTGTGGGGGCAATAAGCTGACTTTGTATAAATATACAAAAAGGATGAAGGCTATTGCTGAGCACATTGTAAGCCGCCCTGAGTCTTCGGAGAAGGGCGGCATATAAATCAAATTAAAAAAAAAAGATATAGCCTGTTGTGCCTTAAAAGACTTCTACTGGACTGCCTTAAAATGGCTTCTACTGTACAGCACAGTGGAGTTGCCATGGTAATGGTGTACCCTCCTGGCCCTGCCACAGCTGGCCAGGGGTCACAAGAGGAGATGGTGGGGAAGGAGGAGGGCCGCCACATCTTAATGGGCTCCAGGAGGAGGAGGGGACCCCATCTGCATTGTGAAGTGTGCTAAAGTTCACTGTGTTGTGCAAGGCACTGTGAGAGTCCTCATGGCCTGTCTGACACCTCTATTAGAATTAGAGAGGGGGAGAGCAATACAGAGGGACAGACAGAGAGAGAGACAGACAGAGAGAGAGATACAATGGAGAGAGAGATACAGTGAGAGGGGGAGAGGGGGAGATACAGAGAGGGGGAGAGAGGGAGAGAGAGAGACACAGAGAAAGAGAGATACAGAGAGGGGGCAGAGAGAGACACACAGAGAGATGGGAGAGAGAGACACACACACACATAGAGAGATACAGAGAGGGGGAGAGAGGGGGAGAGAACACACAGAGAGAGAGAGAGAGATACAGAGAGGGTAGATAGAGAGGGACAGAGAGAGACAGAGAGAGATACAGAGGAGGGAGAGAGAGTGGGGAGAGAGACAGAGACACAGAGAGAGATACAGAGGAGGGAGAGAGTGGGAGAGAGAGAGAGAGAGAGAAAGGGGGAGAGAGATGGGGAGAGAGAGAAAAGAGAGAGACACACAGAGAGGGGGAAGCCAGTGATAAATAAATACCAATGCCGGGTTATCAGTTAGTTGTCTTAGTAAAAAGAAACATATCAGTTGTTTTACCATAGACATTAGGGTTGAAAAGAATATAGAGCATATAAGTAATCTGATCAAGTATCAAGTTGAAAAGCTTCTGGGATAGGAATTATTTCATTGGTTGTCCATATATAATTTCATAGGGAGACATGTTTTTAGTTCCTTTAAAGATTGGTTTTTGATGGAGTGTCATGGGAAGTTTGGGGCACATCAACAGAGTCAATTTGTATCAACTGGAAAGTGTATCACACTCTAGACAGTTGGTAGGGATGTGGCCTAAGCCTTCTTCCCTTAAACCAGGGGTCCCCAACCCCTGGTCCACAGCCTGGTGCCAGGCCATGGCCCATTGGGAACAGGACTGTGTAAGCAGCAGGCAAGCACATGAGTATGCAAAGTTGCATAAGTGCAAGTGGCGTACACACACATGAAACCATCCTCTTTCCCTTCCCCCCACTGTCAACACCACTGGTCTACAGAGTTGGAATCAATGAAATCAAGTTTGACATTCCCGCCTTAGAGTGCTATTCTGGTTTACTGCTTCTGTTCTTGTCACTGTTTTTTTTTTTGTTTGTTTGTTTGTTTGCCAGCTGTGCTTGAATTCTAAGAGTTACGGTAGATGCTGAGTACCTTATCTCTAAGCTACTGCACATGTCCACATTCTTTTCTTTTCTAACTTTTTTGTTCGTCTGCCAGAACTTCTACCAGCAAGGCAGGGAAGTTTGCCAAGAGGTAAGGCAGAAACGCTGCCAAGATGTAATTAATAGCTAGTAAGATTGTTTTTTTTTTTACTTCTTTATAATAAAATGTGTTTTATTAGAATGTATCTCGGGTTTATTTTCTTAAAGTATACTTCAAGGAAAAGCCACAGTCCATCTCTAATTAAGTGCAATTACCCCAGGGGGGAACGGGATTAATTGCCACCCTGACAGTTCTTTTGTGATCTTGCTTGTGTAATTCTTCAACTTGAAAAATGTTCCGGTCCCACATATCCCACCTAGCACCTTGCATTTCCTTCCCCCTCTGTGATCAAGTTAGTATCATCACATTAAAATTTAAAATTCACACTAAAACTGGCTGTATCTGTTAAATCTACTATTATCTTTGTTTCTGCTATTGTAAAAAAAAAAATCAGGCTGAATGCAGCAGATGTTTTGTAAGAGTTCTCAAAAACCTGGTTGGGCTTACAGCCAAACTTGTGAGGTATGCAACTACGTGCATTGAAGGCACCAAGCAATAAAAACTAGTAGATCGTAAAACCTTTCATATACAGTAGTTGGAGAAAGAAAAATGCATTTGCCTAGCGCAGCAATGTGAAAAATTTTGCTCTTTTCAATTTGTTTGACAAAAGGAAAACAAAACAAAACAAAACCCCCAAATTGATGTAGCAGGTTCTGCAGCTTCTATCTTCATCTCCTTTTATAACTTTTTGTTTTAAACTGGTAAAAAGTTTGAGTTCTTTCCTTGGTAGCCTTAGTTACAGATTTGACAGCCAGACTAAACTCTGAAATGCAATTGGAAGTAGGAGGGAGGTAACAGGGAATTATCTTATGTTCAAGTTCATAGAAATTTTGGGAATAATGATCAGAAATAATATAATCAGGGTACTATATGGTTGTGGTGAAAGCAGGGGTGGTTTATAAGAAGCAGATGTTAGGTAGAAGGACAGTAAGTGGGTTGATGCAAAGTAGATTGAATTATCCCAAAGGTGCTTTTTAAAGAGGCAACTGGACTTCCTTTGTTTTTCCTTGAAGATATTTCGCTTCTCATCCAAGAAGCTTCTTTAGTTCGGATTGAATGGTGGAGAATAGAAGGATTTATATTCCTTGCAGT